AGGTTAGCACTACGAAGATCCAACGCAGATAATTCAGTGCCAGTCAACTACCTGAAGCACTCGTCTAGGGAATTTACATTGTGAGAGAACTTACTTATCTGAGTGAAGGGGATTTCAACAGCAAAACATGGAACGCTAAGTCCTCCTTTATCTTTTCCAGAATGGAAATAGGCAATTGTTGTGTTGCTGGGAGAGGAGAAGTCGGCGTCGCACAACATTCAGAGAATCAATCATACCATCAGTAAACATGTAGGATATGAAAGAACAAGGTGCCCGAAATTCCGTTTTCATCTGGAACAGAATTGCACTTGGTTGTATTCAATGCATCAACAGTACGCCGTCATGCAGTATCCATGCTTCGCTGTAGCACAACAATTACCAGTCGCGCGTGAACTAAAAATACTGCGACGGTCGCCCGGTCTCCTATGCAGACTCGAACACAAACCCTCGGATTACAAGGTAGATTTGTGACCTTTAAGGCAACGGGCCGGCTTCATGATGCACAGGTCTAATCCACGTTACAACATTCAAGTTTGTTCTATATACCAAATTCATTATTTGGAAACAGTACCAAATTGTCAGCAGAGGTTGAAGCACCTATATTCTTGCCGCTGAATCTGAATCCTTTCATTGGTGGGGACCACTTCCATCAATAAGAGTAGGAGCAGAGGTGACAACCGGTCACCTTGTCTTCCACCACAGCAACATTCTGTCTGTTCCAGTTGACGACAACTTAAATTTCGTGCATAATCGAGTGAGACAAGGAAATAGCGGGTGGAGCGGGTCACAACGAATTGTGACACCGTATCAAATGCAACATCCAGAAAAGCCATGATACCCTCTTGTTTCCGAGTGAGCTATTCGTAGTATGCTATGCAATGTACAAGAGGGCTCTAAACATCCAGCACTTTACAGAAAGTCAAAATGAAAAAAGGCGAAAAGGCGATCACTCGTTAGCGTTTAGAGATCCCTTTGTGTAGTACAAGTGGGGCAACCGAAGTAACAGCTATCAGTCTGTATTCTCATGGGTGCACAGGATTTACGGTTTTAGGCATCAAGGAAATACGTGCGAGCGAGAGCGATTAGAGCAGAAGTATTACTGCCAGGAGCTCAGGACTATAGGTAGACAAAGCGGCGCCGTCTTCGGTTTGTGCATAAGAGTCGCTTCTACGTCGGATAATTCGAGGGACCTTAACCAGTTGAACCTAAGGTCGAATGGCACTAACCCGCAGGCAACATTGCTTGGTGTGCTGTGAACGTCTAATACATGAGCCTGATAGTCCGGTGCATCAATACCATCAAACTTGTGAACTTCCTTCAATGTGCCATCCAAGATGCACTTCACAGCAATCTTCCTCTGCGTCAGATAAAAGATTTGTATAGTCACATAGGCTCGTTTACGAATCACTTTTCTGTGAGTTAATATCAGTCTGTAAGGACGCAGCTCCCTAGGTTTCCCCTAAGTGGATAGCATTCTTCAGAGTACGCATTAAAAAAGTACAACCCTAGCTAGACACATACTGCCCCACTCCAAACCTATAACCATGTCAAGTAAGATCAAAAAACATAGAGTGTAAGCCAGATGCCGCTTTAGATAACCGATAACACGGCACAACAGCTACATTAGGATGTATTTTGATGAACTCGTGGCCCGAGTAAAGATTCGGAGGAGCGCAAGGAGGCTACTAAACCCATTATGTCTGACAAAAAGACACGCGATGGTACTATTGGGTTTCTTGCATTATCGGGCTGAGAGGAGCAAGTTAGGACCAGGTGTTTTCGCACAGATGCTACCAGAGACCTCTAGTGGCCCAAAAGATGGGATGAAGGTGATGTATGGGAGCCAGTAATTAAGAGCACATCACTATTGGTGACTACTATTTGTGCAAAAGGCCAGCCAAGCTTGTGTAGTTGTTTTCTTAGGCCGCACGAACGTTGCGACTCGAAAAGAATTCTCGAAGCTTTAGGTACACATTGGATCTTGCCTGAAGTAGTCAAACAATGTGTCAGCCTACTGTGGTGCAATTCAATTCTCAATCTCGGTCCACAGCTTTCCTTTCCTTTTGTGAAGCAAAGCATGTCGTTCCGCACTTAGCTCAGCCTGATGCTAATGAAGTCAGTGTTCGCGAAATCCTCTCGAAACAGCAAATCGCGCTTTGTAAAAGCAAATAGATGAGAAGCTAACTACTGTAGAATCCATATATTCTATTTTAGTAACACCAGCATCAGAAATGCTGGGGTAACTCTCAAAGATAGAAGCTCTAAAACTGGTATTTTATTTGAGGCACGGTAATCATATGCAGAGCTCAGGTAGAGAGTTAGTTTTAGGTTAGGTGATCCGGATCTGAACTCGAAGAATGAATCATCCAACTCGAAGGATTAAAAACCGCAGCCAAGAGAAGAACAAAACCAAATTTCACCCAGCAGCAGCAGCAGCAACCAAAATGAGGTGTCCAGGACAAGTATTCATCCTCAATCACTTGAAGGGAAGAAGTGGGCCAAACAATGAAAGGGTCAGGGCTAATCTCGCCACCAAGTCTAAAAGCAGACACAGTAACAGGAGCGTATAACACCCAGAATTCCTTGTTTTGATGATATCCCCAAACCAAAAGATCAAAAGATTGGGGTGGGGTGCTCATGAGAAAATTGAACAGTTGTACAAATGCGAGAAAGTCCCTCCAGTAAGTAACATCTGTAATTTACGTAAAATTGATGAACGCATTTAGTCAGATCGTTCTGTCACACAGGCTCTCAGACAACCGAAATGCAGACGTCTCGGAAAGCTAAATCCTTCAGTAAAGAGAAGAGACACCGGAACATAGACGCTCGCTAGCAAACCAAATTACTGGTATGAGCGGTACAGTATATGATATGAAGGCTCATACGATTTGCCGATTGAAGTACACTGATTTCCCGAAAGTTTAGACGTTCAACTTTGTCCAAGTCAAGGTGAAATAGAGTAACCGCACAGGGTGGAACACAATTTGAGTAATGTTTCTGGTACACCGCAGCAACCGTTGTGAGGAACAGTATAGTCAATTGGTTGGCTTCTACGGCAAAATACCCACCATGGAACAGGCTAGTATGGCTCCATCCATGGAGTAAATGGGGAGGGGGGTTAGGTTTGCGTTTCTGAAGGCTTAGGCCGCCAACCAGAGCGCTAAGGTAAAAAGCAGTTCATCTGGCGACCGAACAAACTGCCTGATTGGGACAATCTGACAGACTGTACGTTACGGGTGGTCGTTGATGTCTCCAAGATCAAGAAGGAGAAAAGATCAGATAAGTTTTCAGTACAAGTAAGCTAAAGTGTACTGCAAGATCCCGAAGGTGATGCACACGCGTTGCACAAAGTTTGGAAGCGCGAATAACAGTAGGAAGGTTCATTCAAAGGCGTAAAATTAAAAAGTACACCAGACAGAATAAATGTTTCACGATATATAAGAGAAACCACTATGAAGTGAGATACAGGTGGTCAGTTTGCCGCATCAATGAATCACGCTTGCACCAAGTGTAACGGCACAGTAAGAATCAACTTTCTTGGGAAACGATGAAAGTTAACTAATAGGATAAACAGTATTCCGATAGCAGGTTTTCGATGGGACCCATGTTAAGATGCTGTAACGTGCATGGAAATTGTCAGGATGACGAGTTAAAAAACACCATATCAACGTCATGAGGCGCGAGAGCTCCAGATGTATCAACCCGGACGAAAGTTAACGAGACAGACACGAGAACGCCCATTCTAGTCAGAGACGAACACCAGTGGGAAGTTAGACGAAGTGCTCTCCCCGGAGATATGAACGCCCAGCTCGAACGACGTCTCCATCACAAGCTTCGCTAACTAGTCAATAGGGTTGGGTGGTCCTTCCCTCACACCACTGACACCAAGAGTGATCTGAAACCAGACTTTCGCACTAAGGGCGGATGACCTGTGATTATCAATGATGTCATACGTTTGGGTTAGAGACATGTCGATGGCTGGAGCTCAACCAGCTGTTCCGCTCTGGCCTAGAGGCATAATACCTGGATCACGTATGACAATTATCGGTAGAAAGTGTGGAACATGAAAGAGAGCGGGCAACAACGGACCAAAATACACTCACACATCGTTCAGAAGTGTGATGCGGTAGAATGGCAAAGTCAGTGGTGAAACGTGCTCTGTATTGGCGCAAAACCAATTACAACGATGAAAACACGATACGAGAAACTGCACAAATCGGAGGCGCGATCACCGTGTGACGAAGTGACGGGGAGTGGAGGAGGCAAAGCAGCACCACATGTGAAATAAGAGAGCACAGCAACCGGAGTGATGCGTGACGATGAGAACGATGGACGAAGAGTGGAGGAGGGAGAAAGTAAAATGGGAAACCCAAATATGACTGACGGCGCAAATTAAACACAATGGGTGAAAAAGGATGAAGTGGCTAGCGAACATAAGTTCCAGACTGTAAGGATTGGAGTTTAGCACAGAAATCAGCTGCACAACCGACATAAAATTTAGCTGAAAAAGGAAGGTCGTTGAAGGAAACATGTGTCAGACAAGCAGGCGGTCGAAAGAAGTGATAGAGGAAAACGGTGCGCCGGAAAGTTGAAGCATTTCCCACCTTGATAAAAGTGCGTTCAACAAACGGAAGCAATGAATTTTATCTGATGCGACAAGTCAGTGGAGGCTGTTCGTCATATTACGAACAGATAAGGAAACGAAAGTGATGGTTGTGTAGAAGTTCACAGTGAAAGCAGAAACCGAACGAAATGCGAACAGTGCATATGGGGCCGGACAGGCGCGGGGGGGAGACGACGACTGACATGGAAAGCGCGGTCCTAACTGAAACCCGGGAGGTAACTCACGGACGATGCTCGAAGAATTCATCAACAATAAAAATGGTGGAAACAGTGCCACGGAAAAAAGCAGAGCGGAATTCTGCACACAGAGTAGCTAATTTTTAGTGGAATCCGGTTGGCAAACAGGAGGAGTAGCGCAACGGGCATCTTCGTCATCTTCATCCGGTTCTCCATTTCGGTTATCTGGATCAACGTCGACAAACAAGCGCTCGTGAGACATGTATGATGATAGTTGCTTTTCAAAATACTTCTCTCTACCGTTAAGGTCGCTGCCTACACTAGCTCGTTCGGGCCAGCTGGAAACAGGTTGGACACGATTCGTCGGTTTTACAAACGATTGCCCGTTACCGGAACCGGAGGAGGTTGTCGGGGTTGCTGGAGAATTGGGATGGTTGTGCTGGGAACCACAAGGTTTACCGGTGGCATTTGGAGAGGAGCAACAAGTGGAAGGGAACATCCGACCGACAGTTGAGCTGTTTGCACCGGTCAGGAGGGTAGTCGGTGGACCCCGACCGATCGATGGGTATGCACTGACAGCAGTTGACCACTCGTCAGGATGTGAAGGAACACGTTGACCACATTCACGGCATCGGCCAACATTCGGTTGACCACTGAGTCCGGCAGCGACAGCGATCGCGTAAGCATGACCTGGTCCATAAATTGCTGAAGGGTTGGTGACCAATGCCCACGCCGGATGGTTGGGGGGATGAAAGCTGGACGAGCTATCGGAAGTAGTCCTGAAACGTGGGTTCCGGCAAGCCTCGTTAAACTGCCTAAATTGAAAAAGGAAATAAATGGAGGGATAAAAGCGTGAACAGAAAGAGGCTGGGCATCCGACACCATCTAGATCATTCAGTTCTAAAACAGCCGCAACAATAGATCCGCCAAAGAATAAATTAACGGCATAAAGGTCCATTGCACAAGCCGGGCACAAACAAATCCACCGTGTCTGCAAACATCTTAAAAAGTAAGGCAGAAAAAATGGGAATTTGGAAGCAAAGTTAAGGTAACAACGCAAATAATACTCACCGTTCGTCTTCCATTTCTAAACTCGATTCACTTTCGCTGAGCTGTCTGGAGAGTGCTTCACGACGTTCTTTCTCCACTTGAAGGAGTTTACGAAGGCGACGATTTTCTTCGATTGCTGAACGCTCTTCCGACTCATACAATGGCATTTTACAAGCACTTTCCGCTTCGTAGCGGTCCAACATTCTTCTCAAATAACTAACTTCTTCGCGTAAGCGATTAACGTATGGAGCAGTCAGTTGGGGGTCCCGAGTGATAGCTGATTCTGAAGCGATGGAAGATGATGGGAGGGCTGTACTGTTCTCAAGGGAAAGGATATTAGAAGTAGCAGACTGTACGCCATTCTTCGGAGTGAAGAGTTCCGGACCGGTGGTTTCGGCGATACAACAAGGGCTCACGGAACCACTTGCAGCATGCTCTGCAGCAAAATTGACAAAAATGTGGAAGATTACGTGACTGCCGGGAAGTAATTATAACACTAAGGAAACAAACAACAAGAGAAAATCACCATAACGCCAGAAGGGAAGTTGCGATATGCCGATGAATGCTGGTCAGCTGCAAGCGACTGGGCGCAGGATGAGAGGTCGCATGGACGCTCAACCAAATGCAGGAGCGAAGACTCCAAGTCAAGATGTACAAAGTAAAAGCCGACTTCTCAAACCACTCCACTACGAATCTACTGAAGCAAAATCCAATCTGTAAAGCGTCATAAGCTTCCGGCCCTATCCAAAAATGGTGGGAATGTATTTGTGAACGAAACCCCGTCGCTGTTCACCAAGTTTTGAACTGACGAGAAGGTTCCAAACTTATGGGGAGAATGGGCCACTGTCGTGATTAACAAGAAAGGCCTCTGGGATCAATGCGCTAATTACCGTGGAATCTCGCTTAAATCTGTCGCGTCCAAGATACTGGTCATCCGACTTCGCAGGCTTTCAGTAACTAGAGGCTTTTCTCAAGAGGAATAAGCCGGTTGTCTATCAGGCGAAGTGCACACTTTGTTAAGTTCACGAACCCTGTTACGTCCATCGACGGCAAACAATCGTAGTGCTCTTGGACATCCGAGTGGAATTTGTTTCGGTGGATAGAACTGCGTTGTGGAACTGTTTACTAAGAAAAGATGTGTTCGACAAGTTGGTCCACATCCTGAAGGGACTTAATAGCGACACGACCGGCAATCACAACCTAAAGCAGGCGCTCCTCTTCGTTTGCTGTCGCCAGCGGCGTGCACCAAGGCTGTTCTATTTCACCTTTCCTCTTCAATTTTGCCAGCGAATATTGAAAGAGGTCCAAAACTGTGATGTTAAGCTTGGACTATACCGAGGACATCTGCTGGGGACGATTCACAGACCGCCCGGAGCGCTTCGAAACGCTTTTCGATGGAGACGTATCAGGATGGCCTGTATTTCACCCCCAGGTAAATGCAAAACACTATTCCAGAATTGGCAGGCATGTGTCCGCGCTCACCATTGCTGGTGATGTTCAGGAACAAGTCCCCTGCATCATTCCTCTAGGGATTTGCATAATGGCTGACGGCGGTGTTAGAGTCGAAATATCACGAATTCCAAAGGCTTGCTTATATTTATTAAATTGAAACGGCGATCATGCCGTTACGATGTTAACCCCATACTTAGGAGCAAGGTGTACAATGTCTCTGCTTTTGCAGTCTACTTGTACGGCTATGAGATCTTGCCTATTCACTCAGAAGTTATGAAAAGACTGTCGGTTTCTGACAAACGCTATCTTCGAAGGATTGCTCGTTAGTGGTGACAAAATCGCGTAAGCAAAGCGGAAGTCCAAAACTCAGCGCTTGGAGTGAAGAGCCACTGTCTCCAAAACGACATTCTCTGACACCGCATGAGTAGGCTCGGACATGTAGTGAACATACCAACCTCTTGCCTTCCCGGTCGAGCATTATATGTGTTTCCCGGAAGCGAGTGGAAAAAGTGCCGCGGTGGACAACCAGTGACGTGGTGAAGGAGCATCGATCGGACCAATGCGGTTTCCAGACTGAAGACAAGGCCAATCTGACATCAAATAAACGTTCTGGCTAACAACGGACATCAGCGGCGTCAATACCATTCTGCTGCATCACCTGTTAATTAATGACTGATAGGACAGTTTATTACAGTTCAGGTGAAGAACTATGATCCGGGCACAAAAGTGTGGTGGACCCAGTTGCCACGACTCATCTCAAGAATAACAATAAATGAAAAGAGAAAGAAAAAAGTAGAAGGTATACAGAATGAAAAAGATAAACAAGCAGTCGCGTTAAATTGATCAGAATGGAACGAAAATTAGGAACCAGATGCAAGAAACCGAAGGCAAGAACGCCACTGATTGTGCGACTGCACCATGTCTGATACGGTCTCCAACCATTGGCGTGGACCATCTCGAGGCCTCCATCCATGAAGATGGCAAGCATCAGCCAGATCAAGTCACTCAGTCAATTAATTCATGCTTATGCCACGTCATGGACTAGCCACCTTGTGGTTCCGCCCAACTATATGTGACCACAGCGCATAATCCACGCCGAGGTAGCCAGTCAACGGGCATACGGAGGACATGGCTTAGCAACATAAGCGATTAGGATACAGTGGACCTCAAGTGAGGAATCAGAAAACTTCTGGCCAAAAACCAACTGGCGAACCTCAGCACTGCTCACTCGGTACTCTCACCAGACGTGAGAAATACTCCACAAGCATCAGTGGTCAAACACGATCAAGTCTTTACTCTCTACACCAAAAACTTGCCAGGTCTCCAATCCATACAGTAAGACCAGCCTTACTGAAGCATTATACACCATAGCTTTCACTGGCAGGCTGATATCCCGTCGTCTCCATAGACGGTTGAGTCGCTGGAAAGCCACACAGAAGTTGCTACTACGCGAAGTAACTTCCTTCGTGATGCGACCATCAGAGGTGACACAGTTATCAAGGTAAGTGAACGGATCAAACACTTCCAGAGGCTGTACGGTGATAGCTAGAACCGGTGTGCCCGTACAGTTCTGTAGCAGATTTTTGTACTTTGAAGGTACAAAGTACATGCTGAAGTGTGCAGCGCTACGTGTCAGTTTATCCAGCAGTGTCTGCATAGCCAGTGCATCAGACCGTAGAACAGCTATGTCGTCCGCACATTGCAGATTTGTCAGTCGGTCACACGGCAGAAGTTCCGATCCGGTACAGTCAGGAAAAACTGAACCATTCAAGATCATTTCAAATACAATGTTGAAAAAGAAAGAATATAGGACAACCATGGCGAATTCTATTTGTCGTGGGGAATTCAGGATACAGTTTCCCGTAGACCCTCACACGGACCCGAGAATCATGGTAGAGAAACACGCTCTTCATCGACAGGCAGGACCACAACCAAACACGGTCAACAGATTCAAAGGTGGTTTTCAAGTCAAAGAAAACCACCACAGGCGGTCGTCTGTATGTGTGTCTGCTCTAAAACTTTGCGAGAGATAACTATGTGGTCGTCGTAACCACGACAACGGCGAAAGCCAGCCTGGTTTTCAGTGATTTGGTTCTCACGAGGACCGGTAAGTAATCGGAGAATGATACTCGTGAGAAGTTTGCATGCAACAGAAACAAGGCTAATGCCTCAATGATTTCCGCACAAAGTAGGTTGACCCTTCTTGAAGATTGGCATGACAGTTGACAGTCTTAAGGCACCTCTTCACTGTTCCAAATCGTGTTAAATGGGAAGCGAGTCCAGTCATCTTTTAGCAAAGGTCGGCCGGTAGCCGAGTGGTCTGCGCGTTTGGTTTGCAGCCATAAGGTCACCGGTTCGAATCCGCGTAGGGTTGGGCGTCTTCGCGGTATACTCAGCCCGCGCGCGACTGGTGGTGGTCGCGCGGCAGCGAAGCGCCGTTACGGCGTACAGCTGACATATTGTTTTTGTTGTTATTTCTTTTAGCAAAGATAAAAAAAGGTCGCCTGGTCCAAGAGCCCTGCTTTGTTTCAACACGGAGAGCTCATGTCGAATCTCGTCAAAAGTGGGAGGTGTGACATCTACTTCCCAAGTAGGCTCAGGTGATGCGGCAAGCAGCAGTGTCGCAGCATGCCTGCTAAACTGCTCTTCAAAATGTTCCGCCAAAAGGGCTAGTCGACGACGCCGAGAATGAATCAAGTGTCCGCCTTTATCAGTTATTGTCTCGATAACTGATGGCATTCTCTGAGTCGTGTTACGGATGATCTGGAATAAACTCGACTGTTCCCAATAGCACTTGCTTTCTCCATCTCACGGGTCCTTGCCATCCACCGAGGTTACCGGTCAACTCGAAGACTCCTTGTAAGACGTCGTCTTTGAGAGTTACGAGCACGCTGAAACTCAGTACCCATCGGAACCTTTTTCTCTGCTTTTAACAAGTTGATCGATGACTCGAGATCTATTCACAGTTACGACATCTCAAGTTAGGCGCATAGTATGCGTCAAAGGCATTCTTCATGACACATTTGAGACGATCGCAGTTAGCGTCCGGTTCATCAACCTCATTCATCATGGACATTTGGTGGGCCAGTTCGTCATGAAATTGTTGAATAGCAGATTGCGAGCTCAAGTAACAAGCAAGAAGGTTTAAAAAAAATAAACGCTTCCTTGAAGCGGGAAGAGTAAGAGACAAGCGTGCACTTCTTTGAGCATGGTCAGAATAAAAGCATGTGCTTCAAATTGATCGATAGTCTTGTACCGATGTGTGCCATCTGTAGCTGATGGCAATATGGTCACTTTGAGTCCAGGTCAGAGGAATTCGGTGGGCACCAGGTGACGCGCTGTGTGCTGAAAAGTAATGCCGTTAAGGATAAGGCTGTGGTCGGCGCACAGCTGCAGTAATCGATCATCATTAGCTGTTCGGCGTGCATCGATTCCGAAACGGCCGCCCAAGTTTTGTACATAATCTGAAAGAAGACCCACTTGGGCATGCATTTCACCAGCAACAGTCAAGATGTCAGGGAGAATATCATCTGTCCTATCAATTACGTCGACAATACTCCCTCTTCCTTGTTTTTCGCTCTCCGCTCTTCTTCCCTGTCTATTGAGCAAGAGACGGCCGCTGACATCGCACCTGCTGTTATCAATACAGGTAGCTCTTCCATCAAACCTAGAGTTTCATTTAACATTGGTTCTTTTAACATCCGCACTCTGGATCAGATCGGCCAGCAGGCAGCACTGACTCACTCTCTTGGTATTGATGTGTGCTGTCGCCCAAACACGCATACAAGATAACAGCATCGAGACAAATCTTCGACTCCCTGGTTCGGAATCTGACGATGATGGCTACACTCTTCGCGTCTCTGCGACCACGGCCAGCCGCAGGAGGGAGTTGGAGGGTTTGCACCAATTTGATCAGGGGCTGCCTATCTTGAAGCAGGCGGTAGCAAAGCATTGGGCGGTGCCTATCACCGTCAGGAAAATGCATGGCGCTGTTGCACTAGATAAATCAGGCTGTGAGATTATGATCTGTGAAGCCGTTGTATCCAATGCCTAGTCTTGAAAGAAAAGGGGCATCAACGTCTCATCAATTCCCGAAGAGAATACTGACTTAGTTTATGTGATCGCTAAGGACTGATCTTTTTGGTATGGGTGGCTGGGATTGAACTTGTAAAGTGCCACCCAATGTAGCCTAATGGGTCGCGGAGGAACGCGAACCTACGCATTACGTTAAGGCCCAGCGTCATCGCAACGAAATGAAAGACAAAAACTATAAAGCAAAAAATACTAAAATGGCGTATGTGAAACCAAAAAACTTCGTCTTCTTTCACTTCTATATATATATATATATATATATATATATATATATATATATATATATATATATATATATATATATATCCTTGTACCCCACAAATCCTAGTCAATTGAAGCCACGTTGAAGTACATTACTGCCGAACGTGAAGCGGCTTTGGTAAGCTAGCATAATGAGTGTAAACGATGAGCGCTTCGCGGTCCCAGTAGTGTACCCAAACGCAAAAAATAATAGGCGTCAATAGTAATATAAAAGGGTTTTCGGAGGCCAGTCCAGCAATGAGCACAGTAAATACAGACGGTGGGCGAGTATGGCAGAAACCTTAATAGAAAAGCAACATGCCGCATTTGACAGACCACAGGCAGGTGCGATGTAATCAGTAAAGCCAAGGTGCGAAAAAACCAGCACTCACCAAAAGCATCCACGTCCATCGGGCTTTGGGGTGGGATCAAGTTGGACACAGAAACGGAGGCAGTCAGATTGGCCTTTAAAGGCAACACGTCATCCGTCTTCGATGAACGTCGATTTAAATGTAGAGAATGACAGTCTCCACCGGTGGGGCCAACAGGACCTACTAGTAGAGCGGTGGGGACAGGGGGTCGATTGGTAGGTAGTGATGGCGGAGCGGAGGGATGAGACGATGCCCCAGATAGCAATGCCTGTACGTGGTCGTGAGTGCGGAGTGAACCACGAAAGCTTCCTGGCCCACTACTAGCCGGTCGATTACCGGGTGCACCTGCTACAGATTGGGAGGGGTCAGCGGAATTACACACACTATCACTGGTGGCTGCGGTCGATTGGGCGGCAGCGGGTAAACTTTGGGTGCTTGAGCTTGCGGATAAGAGTGCGCCCATGGATTCTAACTTTTCCTATAATGGAATCAGCAAAAGAGATAGAAGTCTGTGTGGAACACTTAATTGTTGAGACATGAAAAGCAGTGCCATTGAAAAAGTAATGCAGCGCACTTTGCGCAAAAGTACTGGGCGTGTGCGAGATAGCGTAGATGAGCTGGGTCGAGGTTCGTGACCGGAAAACAAGCTGCAGGTGGTACGATTTCCGAAATCAAATAGGATGAGAAAGAAGATGAACAATGTGAGTGTTGACAAAAGAAAAAGACAGATATGCGTCCTCAAGAAGAGTGTGGATTATCCAATAACCAAAGCTGTTACACTGCAGGAACAGCAAGTGTGAGAGAACGAAGATAGTTTGCGGTTAGACACAGACATGCGAGTGCTCCAATGGATTTAGTATAATAACAAAATGCCACGTGGAAATAGAAGGTTACAGGAGACATCAAAAAGGAACTGGTAAACATGAGGAAACAATGTACACTGCAATTCGATTTGTTGATGAGGAGTACAAACAGTAAGAGTGGGAAAGTCACATCAATTGAGCGGAGAAATAGGTGCATTGGACGCTAAAAATGCACGACTGGCAGTACATGAGACACCTCTTGATCATACGTTACGTGTGACTCTTGAGGAAATAAAAAATGTGGCTAATCATATCATGTAAAGACGTTTAAAAGTCAATCACAAACTAATGAAAGCCGAAGAGAAAGCGGTTGTTGACGGTCTGAACTGGCTCATTTGATTCGAACAGAAGTTAAATTGACCGGCTCAGGTGGTGGAAGCCTGTGTTGTCGATGGAAACAGACTTGATATGATCCCACTTGACAGAGGTCGCTGGGTTCTTCATGAAACAAATTGGATCAGCCGAGAAGAGATGATACTCTCGGTTATCATCAGTGTTCCATACGAATGGATCCTTATTACGGCAAAGGCAACGTGAGGGACTGCAACAATATCCTCTGCTTGTAAAGTTCTAGTTGCGTTAACTTGATCGCTATCACTTCGGCTATCATTAGGCGGCGTTTCCTAAGCACCTTAGGATATCGTTTACACAGCCACGGGAAGGCTGAGGACAGACAACAATGGTCAAAGAAGAGTTCGAGTTGAAAATTACCGCATATAACCATTGACTGAATAGTTGTTCCCAGAATTTGTTTCAGGAGAGTAACTGCAAAGTGGAATGGGAATCACGATGATGCTGGTCACTCGCCGTTCTGTGCGAGTTAGAACAATTCGCATATGTTATCCAATCATGTCACCTGTGAACCCTGATACTGCAAGGGATTTGCAACAGGTTTGTATCCCATTGGCCAGAGACTGCCTGGTCTCAGGGGGTGAAAGCTAACTCGAAAGCAAAAGCCGTGATTTGCACTATTGTTGGAGACGACCGAGAAATAGTAGATGGAAACGATTGACAATCGTACAAATTAGGACAGAGACTGTGTCCATTACATCTGTTGTTGATCCCAGTGCAATTATGCGAATTGGGATAAAACAACCCTATCAGTGGCCTGATAATAAGCACAAGTGTATAGCAAATGATTGCCGACAGTTTATTGCTGTCATCGTTCGTTACATTGTCACGGTACTATGCAGAATTTAGACAAAGCTGTTCAATTTGCTTGCTTAGCTCTCCTGACATTTCAGTCAAATCAGCGATCAAAATCGAAGTCTAACCGACAAACTATACGAATATGAGGAAACAAGAATCGTCAGTTCAGTTTCTATTATTACTACGCGTATCAAAACCAGTAATGAACTTGTTCTAATGTGACCAATCAAATTGCTGCAATTGAGACTGGAAGCCAGCAACCAAAGATTGCCAAAAGAAACAATGATGCACAAACGCAAGTGTACTGCGGATTTATAGTGTGAATCCGCGCTGATCGTGGATAAATGGTTGAATTCGATCGAGACCAGCGCGACAGTGATTATAGCGTAAATGTTAGGGGACTACACACACCAAGAGCCCGGAGACACAGGTAGGTTCCATAGACCATGGCTTGAGTATGCGGAAGGAGATAGGCTACTCATCACAGGGAAATGTAATGCAAATATCGAAAACGGGGGCAACGCCATTAAAATTTTAGTCTAATATCGTCAGTTGGAAGATACGCGAAAGTGCGCTTTGCGAACGCAGCATGAAAACAAAGGATGTCGGTCCGAAATTATAAAACACATTAGTGGTGGCGTCAAAAAAGGGGCGAAGTGTTAAGGTGTGTTATGGGTACAGATAACGTCTAATTTACTCTTCAATATGGGAACAAAGAAAATATCAGATAGCGCAATCTAAGTGGGTTGCATATCTAGAAAACAAATTTGTAAACGCTCAAAAATGGATTGGGCGCTTAGTGAGTGCGGCAGCGTGAATTGAATTAATGCATAGTGAAAAATGTTTTGTTTAAAAAATGGACAAGCATTAATCAAGCAAAGTGGAAGAGTTCGTCTTTACAGCTGCAAACGTCGAAAAGTTTCACACAAGTAATTTGGATAGCCTCAGGGCGCAGAGCAGCGTGTCGACACAATATTTCTTAGATGTCTGTGACACGCGAAAATGTGGAGAAATTCTGAGACGAGTTAATGGAAAAGTGCGGAGTTGTGAAAAACCAGTTGAATGCAGTCATGTGAGATACGGCCAGCGCCGGATGTGTCGCACCAATGGATGCTGTTTCTAACGGGGCCGCTTTCTGCGCACTAGGGGCATCGGTTAGGGTCAGGTGTGACCAGGAATCATGATCAGTGCAAGCGCTATGGAACGTTCCACTAATATCAGGCTTCAGAAACTCCACCAAACTAGTGCAATGAGCTAAAACAAGGAGCACTTTGAGTGGAGCGAATTCTAAAAGGCAGTGGGAAATATCTGCGAACATTAAGAGGTTTCGTTCGCATCGAAAAAGGGAACAAGTGCTTATATAGTAAGAAATGGGGCAGACTTGATATTGCTAGAGTCTAGGGCGCATAACTGCTGGTCCTTGGAAGAAGCCGCTAAATGCTGAGGCCTAGACCGAAAAGACAGCGTATGAGGGTTACAGCTAAATCATTTCCGCATCTTGTGGGCGTCTGCGAAAATAAGATCCAAATCAGCAACACACAAAGCTAGACAATCAGGTGAAAAAGGATGAAAACATATTTGGCGTATAGATGGAGTGATACCGGTGATGTCTGTCAAGGAATAAAATGAAGTGTATGCGGATAGTGGTGCCTAAACAGACCAAGAGAATCACACAGATCCATGACCGACGTGGCCGTTGGGTTTCCAAACAGCTGCGCGACAAGAAACAAGAAGGCATTGTGGAGCATACGGCTAGGATTGAAAGCGTGGAAGTAGAAAAACATGTACTGCACCACATGAAAGTACAAACTTCCATCGCGTCGATCGATCGGTAAAAGGAACTACATGTGAAGTAAGTACAGCATGTAACCTAGCCTGAGTCAACGCAGAGTCGAGATGAAAAACAATAATGGCTATTGCAACTGGGTGTGACCTAGGATTAGAGTAACGCACAGGACGGTGAAAACACCTGGAGAGACACTGTGAACTAGTTGTCAACAAGTACGGTCACGTGGCACCCGGTTCAGTCAACCAGCAATGAATCGACTGATAGTGAGATGGGTGCTGTTGCCCCAGTGTACAATGTTAAGGTAACGAACAAATAGTAGAAATGTAGGGATATATATAAAATGGCCAAAGAAAAGTCGGAGAAGTAGGGCTAAAGGAGCAACGTCTGAAAACAAAAAGGCAACGGCAGAAAGACTATAGCGCATACCGTAACTGGCTTTCAAACGTTTAGATAAAGATGTCATGCGATAAGTTAATTCAGTTCCCAAATCAATAGTTTCACGCTCCTCTAAGGAGTGAGGGTAGCGTTTCACTCTATAAAACGAGCTCTCTGTAGTCCAGTGCCAAAACCTAGCTATCTTGCGATCAGGTTTTTGAACCAAATGCTTTGGTTGAGAAGCCCAATCGTTCTCTTTTCTAGGCCTGGACAACTTGACAGTATCCTGCCCACGCAGTAGAACATTAAGACTTCGCATTCAAATAATCTTTTGTTGCTCTAGCCGCCGCAGAGGATAAGCAACAGCACCCTTTCTGTGGGACCGAGCAGGGTGGATAGAGGTTTGGATGCTACTACTCAAAACTGTCCATCTTCTTATTCCCTATCTTGCGCTTAGTTCATCCATATCGTCTCAGTACAAGCTCACTTCTATCCCCACTGTTTTCAATCCTCCAATTCTTGGCCCGCCCCCATCTTTGTTCAATAGTCGTTTACGTTCCAATTTCGACTCACACCCAATCGCAGGGCGCCGCTCCAGTTCAGCCGATGAGTCCATGTGCAGTCAAACGGACAACCTCGGTTCATTTGCTTATATTTGTAGACCTCGGTCATCCGTAACATTGGCACGCCTCATTGTGCCACTCTGGCACAAATTGGCTAAAAGGCAGCACTTGGCAGAACACTAAATACCCTATCGATCGACATCTGGTGCTTGTCAGAAAGTCGCCTGCAGGATTCGAGTTCTGTACTTACCCTCCAAAAACCAAAGGTGTGACAATCGCAGTATTTTCTCATTTCGTTCGTACGGAGATGAAGAGGCTTCAAATGCTGGTCAAGCCGGTGTGGGCATTACTCTTAGCCCCCGAGCTGAATGTGCCTTGAGAGACTGGATCCCAAGGAACAGCCGGATGTGTGTTGTCTGATTGCCTGGCTCGTTCAAAGTATCGAAGTTGCGTGGGGACAAACGGTGCTTGTTTGTCATTGCGGCCTATACGCCCACGAATTGTAGGGATGACTCGGTGAAAGACGCGCTCCTCCGCCACAGAAAAAGTACGGATACTGTGGTAGTTGCTGGTGCCCAAGTCGGAAAAGTGTCCACTGATGAGCTTTATCTGGACGGCCAACATGGTGTAGGCTCCGGTAATGATAACGGTGAGCGGTTGCTACATCTGTGTGAGGAGGCTCGTCTCTTGCTCGTGAGTAATAACTTCAGACACAGTATCTGCAGGAGAGCGACATAGC